AAAAAAAATGCAGTAACAGCACAGGACTTTGTTTCGAGTTTTCCTTTTCCCAAAAAATGTGACAATTTCTGATAATGACTCATTACAGTCATCGTTGTAATTGTCAACCCTATAATCTTTGTAATAAATGCTCAGGTAATATGCTAGTCGCGCGTGTAGTGATGTCTCCTCAAGCACAGGGGCTAGCAACGATCTATATGTGATAAGAATAAATTAGTGAGAAAAAATACGTAACTGTTCATAAAATAACATTATGTTCTGTACTGTACAGTTACGTATTTTTTCTCATTCTTTTTATTCTTATCACATATAAATCGTTGCTAGCCCCTGTGCCCAAAGCTGGGGATTACCGTGGCTTTTTTTAGACGTAAACAAATTATCACAAATGAGAGATTACCACAAACACTGAACAGGCTTCACACACTGAAATCTTAATTTAATTGACCGTAGAAACAAAAAAATAACGAAAGTAAATATTGAAGAAACGATAACTGTTCCGCGTCTGTTGCCCAACGTCAACAAACATGTGGGGATTTTGCTAGATATTTTAAATGCTGGGTCATATCTTACATGCATGATTGTGATCAGCAGCAAACATTGATCGTTGTAAAATAGCCATAACGTAGAATATCGTAAAATGGTAGAAATTACTGGCACTAGTCAAAATTCCATCTAACTCACCGCTAAAAGTTAAACCGGATAAGCGGCTGGAACATTTCTTCGTATTTAACGCATGCGCAACAAGCAGTTATCTCAATTCTAGCCTAGAGGGGGTACCCAAGTTTGCGTTTGACTACGTATACGGGGAAATCGGATCTTCTGGAAAATTCCACGAAACCCCAGATTTACACCCCATTTTCAAAACCCTCTCAGGGCCGTTCTATGTAAGGTATCGAAAAACCAAATATAACGTCTCTTCATAATAAATTGGACTACTTATGTTTGGAGTTTCAGTTCGTCAGCTTTAAACGTTAATTCTCCAGGGTGAATTCTACAGCTACTAATGGTCAAAATGCCGATTTTGGCGTGTTTTACACCAAATATCTCCATAACTAGGTTTTTCCCTGATATAACAGATATACAAGGAGGTAGATCGCGCTGAGTTCTACAAACTTAGAAAGTTTCAGCAAAAGTTATGGAGCCGTTTTTTTCGTACTCAAATCGCTGTTATATGCGGCAAATTAGCTACATTTAGCCGTGTTAACATTTCGTTCAGAGGAACGATAACAGAGTTATCGCCCCTCTAACACTTCATTCCATATTGAAAACATATTGGCGATATGGCTTACCTTTGCTATCTGATAAGTGAAATTGCCTTTCTTCCTGAACACCGTTCAAGAGGACGCCATTGTAGAGTCACTGTTTAGGACATCGTATGCTTCACAACAAACAAGTCGGTGTAGCCTGTCAAATAATTCACACTTTGTATGATTCATGTGAATGTATAATGATGTATGCATGATACCTGTATATGCAAAATGACGTACGGGTACTTTTTTATAATACAAAAGTACAATTAATGGAAACAATATGACATACCCTTACCCAGGATACTAGTGTATGTAAAAAATAATGTTAGGATTCTGTTGGGTTCTGTCGTAATTTCGACTTCCGTTTTGTCCTTTTTTCTTGCGATGAGATGTAGTTTTCTATGTTACGTTAAAGAAAGCAATATTTATGTTCTGTTTTCTTTTGAGCCTAAAATAGATCTTAGCAAAAAGATACCTTATCACTGAATTCCACATAGAATAAAAAATGAACATTATCATGTCTTGAATGAACGAACAAGAGACTAGAACACTGGCAGGTCGGTAAGTGCCCCGTCTTGTGGCAAATATATCCCCCATAGTCATCAAGAAGCAATCTGCCAATATAGCTGAACTTGCCGTTTGACATTTGGACTTCAAAAAGAATCGCAAGAAGCAAAATGTACATTTTACATGTACTATGATGCGAGTCTTGTTTCCTTCCACCTTCATATTTGCTGCGCTAACAGAAATGTAAATACCGGTGCAATACACATTTGTTAGCATTCATTTGTTTGATTTCACCTTAAATACCTCCTCCATCAGGAGCCAGGGTCAAAGTCAGATATTCACTTTGTCTTTGACCTTTGGACCCAAATGACATTGACCTTTAACCCAGTGACCATGCTCTTTGGTCAGTTGACTTATTCTTTAATTCCATTCAACTTTGCTTTATAATAATATAAAAACTAATGTTCATCAGTAAAAAGATACAATATTTGACAATGATCTTTGACCCAGTGACCTTGACCTTTGGTCAGTTGACTTTTTGTTTAATTCTGATCAACTTAGCTTCATCATGTCATAACAAAATGTTCATCAGTGAAAAGATGCAAAATTTGACCTTGACCTTTGAACCTAAAGACCTTGACCTCTTACTTCGACTTTTGACCTCAGTGTGTCTCTTTGTTTAATTCCGACCAACTTTGCTTCATAATGTCATAAAATGCTCATTAGAGAAAAACAACAAAATTTGACCTTGACCTTTGAAACCTTGACTTCTGACCCGATGATCTGACCTTTGGTTATTTGGCTCCTTGTTTAATTCTGATCTACTTTGCTTCGTCACCCATTGTCATAACAAAATGTAAAATTTGACCTGGACCTTTGAACCTAATGACCTTGACATTTGACCTTGACTTTCAGTGTGTATTTTGTGAACTGGACATCTTGACCAAGTTTCATGTAAATCGTTCAATAATCAGTTATCAGCCAGGAACAAAATTTGTGGACGGACGGACAGACAGACAGAAAGGCAGGCAGGCAGGCAGGTAGGCAGGCAGGCAGGCAGGCAGGCAGGCAGGCAGGCAGGCAAGCAAGCAAACAGACAGACAACCAGACATGTCGCCCTACTTAAAATCTGATGTTCCCATCAACACACAATTTGCAAAGTAATATGTTTTAAATATTTTATATTTTGACTGAATGAACTACAGATTTGGTCTCTTGACACCTTGTTTGATTCTGACCAACTTTGCTTTATAATGTCATAACAGAATGTTAACCAGTTAAGAGATGTAAATATGACCTTGAACGTTGACCCAATGACCTTCAGCTTTGGTCAATTGATACCTTGTTTGATTCTGACCAATTTTGCTTCATAATGTCAAAACAAAATGTTAAGCAGTTAAAATATACAAAATCTGACCTTGACTTTAGATCCGATGACTTTGAACTTCGATCATTTGACTTCTTGTTGTATTGTGACCAACTTTGCTTCATAATGTCATAACAAAATGTTTACCAGCTAAGAGCCAAAAAAAAGTTACTGTTAAAATCCAAGATGGCTTATTAGAAGCCATTTTTAATCCAATCTGCCAGAAAAATCACAAAGCAGATCTAGGATTCATTGGAAATCCTTCAAAATTTTAAAAACATACTTCATTTACTTCCATCAATATTGTGTAAAAGAAAAAAATGGACAGACAGACGGACAGACGGACAACCTGATTACTATATGGCACCCGCATCTTCAATGCGAGGCCCTAATAATTCAACAAAAAGTTCGAAATTATTAAATTGTATCCAGATCCTTTTATTATGAATATTTGTTAGTAACATCAACAAAGCATTCCTCTCAAAATCATGTGTCGTTTGTGGGAAACAATAATATAAAATGGAATATGCATTCATAGAAACAATGCTTTTTTTGTGCCGATGTAGGTTTATACTAAAATGTTATTGTATGTAATCTCACGCAATTTTGTATAGCCAAATTATTTAGTCAAATAACATCCTATGGATAGGCCAGATCCTGAGGATGTATAGGTAGCAGTATACAGTAGAGGGTTGTGGCCATGGGTGATACTTTTGTTAAATGGCTACCCCTGTATAATGATATGTAAAAAAAAAATTAAAAATAAAACTGTTCTAAAATTGGTATAAGCATGATGAAGTGGGCTATGTGAGCTTCACATTTGTAAAAAGAAAAAGATTTTTTTAGTTCGAGAATAAAATTTTGGCCATAATCCGAAAGGCTAGCTAGCTTTACAGGAGGTAAAATTTTGACAACAGCTCACGACGCAAAACTGCAAAAAAACAAGTTTTACAACTTAACTGGGACCCAGATAATTCTGCAACCAGGTAGGTACTCTTTAATTTCAGACAGAACTTAGGAAAAAAATACTAGTTGCGGGGGTCAAATTTTGGGTCAAAAATAGCATTTTTTGCTAATTTTTGATGTGGTAACCATGGTTTTCACACAAGTGACATACATTGAAAAAGGAGCTTTATACACTTCTCAGTACTTTATATGTATTGTACATGTATTGCAGTTTACAAATATATATACATGTATACATGTGTTGTGTAGGGTAAATCCGCTGTGTTTATATTTCCTCGACATGTGCCTTGTTTATCAGAGTCAGGCCATTTCTACTGTATTCTGCTACCATACCATAACGAAAGTTTAGTAGATATAGTGACATGACGTAAAGCCAACGTCCAGTGAGGTCATTTGTTTCTTTGTTTTAGGAAAGCCGTTGCGAAATGTAGCTACGACCGAAATAGCGCAACACCCATTGAGAGTCCCTTAAACAATGAAAGAAGTTATGGTCGTATCTTGCGGATCCCGGGCAGTACGAGGGGTAACCTGTGTGTGAACAGTCAAACTTGAAATTAAATTTTCAAAGACTCAAAAATTAAATGAATGAATTCTTAAATAAAACGGATTGGAAGGGGTTACCACCTCGCTCACAAACCACAACCCAAAGATATCTCCACATTACTTTACATATTGCATTTTTTTATGTTTGTTGAATGCAGAAAAGTATGGCCTGCAAAATTAAGGCACTCTGCAGTACATTGTAGACCTACGTATTTCAGCAGTAATATTGTTTTAGATTTTTCACGCTTTAATTGTTGCGCTTATTACGATTAGGTCTCTGTGTATTGCATTCAGTTGCATTTATAGTAGAGTGCGCTAAGGTAAGTAACTTTGCAGTTACTATGAAAATGTTAATAAGATAGGATTTCGCAACTTACGTTCACTTTTAAAACACGAGACATATATATACAGTCCTACTCCGTTGATAATAATCTGATGATTCACCTTTATACGGTTGTTCGTATAGTCAAGATTTTATAATACAATCTCAATTTCCACTCCGATTCTTCATCGTAACAGTAATACCGAGTTAAAAAAAAGATTCGGCTGTCTCTTCCTTTCTCTAAATTTATTGGTAAATTAGTAACGACATATATTCTGGTTCGAATTCTCAAATAAGGAATTTTACATGATTTCCGTGGGTTTGTTTTGTAAAATGTTACATGACTTTGCTTCATAAGTTCTTATCAGACTGACCAGAATGGCGCTGTTGTTTACCAGTCTATCTTCTAACAAACTTGTATCGCTGTCGACAACCTGAATACGGTCCCCTTCATATGACACCTGTCTATTCATTACCGGATGAGAACACTCATTCGTAGTAAATATTTGTGTAATACCTTTGTTTCAGTAATTACATGTGTAATATACATGTAGTGAATACATGTGTCATACAAACATCTTTGATACATGTAGTAAAAACGTATTGAATATACTAATCGTTGATACTTGTAGTAAATGCATGTGCAATTCTCCTTTCTGTTACACATTTAGTAAATACATGTGTAATACACCTATTTGTGACCAATGCAGTAAGTACATGTGTAAAAACCTGTCTGTGACACATGTAAGAAATACATATGCAATACACCTATTTGTGACCTATGCAGTAAATACATGTGTAGTACACCTGTCTGTTAAACATGTGGTAAATACATGTGCAATACAACTGTCTGTCTGCGACACATGCAGGACATACATATGCATTACACATATTTGTGACTTATGCAGTAAATACATGTGTAGTACACCTGTGTGTGACATATGTACCAAATACATGTGTAGTACACCTGTATTTAAAACAGATGTAATACACTTATGTGTTATTCATGTAAGTACCTGTGTTATTCACCTGTCTATGATACATGTAGTGAATATATGTTCAATGGACTTTTCTGTGCCACATGTAGTCAATGCATGTTTAATTCACATATCTGTAATACATGTAGTAAATGCATGTGTATTTACCTATTTCTGACACATGTAATTAAAAAATGTGAATACACCTATCTGTGATACATGTAGTAAATACATGTGTAATACACCTATCTATGACGAATGTAGTAAATGCATGTGTTATACACCTAACTATGGCACATGTAATAAAACATGTGTAATTCACCGATCTGTGACACACGTAGTGAATACATTTGTTATTCATCTGTTCGTGAGAAATCTAGTTAATGCATGTATTTAGTACATCTGTCTATGACGAATGTACTAAATACATGTGTCATACACCTGTCTGTGAAACATGTATTAAATACATGACATGTGAAACATATCGTTAATACATGTGTAGTACACATATGTGTGACCTATGCAGTTAATACATGTGTAATACACCTGTGTGTGACACATGTACAAAAAATATGTGTTGTACACCTGTCTTTGAAACAGATAAAATACGCCTATGTGTTATACATGTACATGTAGTGAATGCGTGTGTCATTTACCTATCTCTGACACATTAAGTAAATAAATGTGTAATATACCTATATCTATTACACATGTAGTAAATAACATGTGTAATTCTCCTATCTGTGACACATGCAGTGAATATATGTTTAATATACCTATCTGTGACACATGTAGAAAAAAAACATTTGTAAAACACCTATCTATGATACATGTAGTAAATACATATGTAATTCTCCTATGTGTGACACATTTAGTAAATACATACGTAATATAGTTCATCACATGATAATTTCTAGGATTGCTATTGGATAACTTCCCTTGTTCTATTTGGTATAGTTCGCATCCGCCCTTGACGACGGGAACTATACCTGGAGACGGGCACTATACCTTTTGTTTGGACCGCTGAAACTGCGGGAAAAGTAGCGTGACGCTAAGAGTTGCACCCCCTCTTAGGGAGCACTGTACATATTCAACTTTCACTTCATTGTTGCCGTCTGCCGAAATGGCTTCGAGATTCGGGACCGAGAATGCCGATTGATTCGCAGAGGCTCAGCAATGCATAAAAAAGAAACAGGCGACACAATTTGCCGTCGCAGTACCTAAAGACTTCCTACTGGAAAGGGGATCCATATGTGACCTAGCGGTGATTTAATCCAGTGAATTGAACGGTGGTTTGGCGGATTTCTATGCCAATATAGGCAACGAAAAAGAAGAGATCTACTCAAAAAGTTATCTTATTGCCATCAGGCAAGGTTTGCAGCGGCATTTACCAGAACCATCATGTGGCAGAGATTTCGACATTACGTTGTTTGTGCACATTCTTTTAGTTTTAGTTACAATTAACTACAACGCATGAATCAAATCCTCAAATATTACGTTCAAATTGCCAGCTGTTGTTAATTATTAAATATGTTATCATTGAAATTCCTCATGTTTGTCTTTTTATTGTCAAAGACAGTCATGTGATGTACTAATTCTATTATGACCCTTTTCCACCCCTAACGGCTCGGACACTATACCACCCCAGACAACACTATAAGAGAACAGTTCCCCCAGGAAAGGGCCATAATAGAATATTAAAACCTAATAATGACACATGTAGTAAATACATGTGTAATATTCCTATCTTTGTTATGTGTAGAACATAGATGTGTAATACTCCTGTCTGTGACACGGGATTTGATGGGTATTCCCCTATACTATCCGAGCGCAAGACTCGTTTTTAATTTAAATACCACGATAATGCACCTCCCAGGACTGTGTAATTTACCTATCTGTGACACATTTAGTAAATACATGTGTAGTACACCTGTCTGTTAAACATGTTGTAAATACATGTGCAATACAACTGTCTGTCTGTGACACATGCAGGACATACATATGCATTACACATATTTGTGACTTATGCAGTAAATACATGTGTAATACACCTGTGTGTGACATATGTACTAAATACATGTGTAGTACACCTGTCTTTGAAACAGATGTAATACACTTATGTGTTATTCATGTAAGTACCTGTGTTATTCACCTGTCTATGATACATGTAGTGAATATATGTTCAATGGACTTTTCTGTGACACATGTAGTCAATGCATGTTTAATTCACATATCTGTAATACATGTAGTAAATGCATGTGTATTTACCTATTTCTGACACATGTAATTAAAAAATGTGTAATATACCTATCTGTGATACATGTAGTGAATACATGTGTAATTCACTAATTTCTGATACATGTAGTAAATACATTTGCAATATTATTATCTTTGATACATGTATCAAATAGATGTGTAATACTGCTGTCTGTGATGCATGTATTATATATACCTGTGTACTACACTTATTTGTGGCACATTTAGTAAATGCATGTGTAACCTACCTATTTCTGACACCTGTAATGAAAAATGTGTAATACAACCATCTGCGATACATGTAGTAAATACATGTGTAATACGCCTATGTGACGCATGTAGTAAAAACATAGGCAATACACCTTTCTGTGACATGTGTAGGAAATACATATGCAATACACAATTTTGTGAACTATGTAGTAAATATATGTCTAATATATCTATCTGTCGAACTATCAAGCAAGTAAATGGTAGCCGCCAGTTATTATGTCGAAAAATACGAGTTTTATGTAGCCACATAGCCCTAACGCTTTTCATTAAATAACAGAGCTAGATACATACAACATAATTGGTCAACAAATACTGATAGCATAGCGAAACTTATTTCCCATTGGTATAAAAAATGGAACAGTCTGCTCATCATGATCCAAATACATCACGTTTCGTGCTGAAGCAACAGAAATTATACGAAAACTACTTACCTTTGCCATACAGTATGTAAAGCTCTCTTCCCTGTTAAACACCGTTCAGGCGGGCGCCATTAATTGTATAGTCACTGTGTAGGACATTTTAGTCGCAATTCAAAATTCTATTTACGTAGATTACATTTGTATATGAACAAAAACGTGCGACTTCAACTCAGCCTTTACAATCCAAATTCGTGACCCGGGATTTGACGGTTATTCCCCTATATTAGCCGATGACAAGACTCGTTCTTAATTTAAATACCACGATAACTGTCTGATCATTTTTGTATAAGTGTGTTATTTCAATAGAACCAATTTCTAAAAGCTTGTCTTAATTTACAACTAAGTATTGAAAGGTTGTTCTCAATAAATACGTGTATGCTGCCTACCTTGGCAATGTGAAGGCCTTTTGTACCGTTATGCAAACGTTTATTTAATTTAAAGGACGTTCCAGCTTGTGTGTTATATGTAATCAAGACGGGCACATTGTATAAGTTCGAACCTTGTTATACTGGATATATCTGAGATATTTTCCACCGGCCTCGGTTTTCACATTTTGGGTGTGTTCTGTGTAGGAAATGAACCTACTCATCTGTCGCATAAATGGTCTGAAGAATTAAAACTTAAAAATTTCTTAATATAGTCTTTAGCTATGACATTATGGAATGAGTACATCTAATACAAATATAACAACAGCTGTAATCAAGCATAGTTTTTCAACACTTGTGTTTCTAAATATACTCTATAATTCATTATACCAAAACAAACATTCCGTGTGATATGAAACTTCGTTAATCATTGGACAGAATTCTTCTCAGCGAACTGTACATAACAGTCTCATTTAGGAATTTGGACATGCTCAAAGGAGCTCTGTGTTTTTGAAACATTACAGTAATAATGTCAAACTTAAAATAATTATATATCACATATGTCATTGACTCAGTGGCAGGGTATAGGATAAGTAACAATGGTAAATGCGGTTAGTCTTCTAAGGAAACTGAGTGATACCAACGACTGTTCTGACGACATATTGGCAGGGTATTTCTAAGCAGTTTCCTCAACAGACCAGACTCAAATATTGACAGCTGTGCTTTCCATATAGTTATTTTTTGTAACATGAATGTATTTCAAATGTTTAAAACTACCCAACAATTTGCTGCTGTTGCTGTTTCCATATGCCTAATGTTCTAAAAAATTGCGATGCTTGAAAGTATACTTTGAAACTGTAAATTCGTTGCTCTCTTGATGAAAAGACAGCAATTTTATTAAAAAGTGTAACGTTGTTTCAAGCGTTATATAATATTTGTAGTAATACTAGTATATGCTTACCAAAAAGGACATGATAATTTCGAATTGAAAATAGGAAAAAGGATTCGAAACAAATAATCTAGGGCAAACTATCCAAAGAGGAATTGCTTTTTATGTGAAGAGCATCGAATATCGTAACTTTCAAGATTAATAAAACCAAGTTTTCTTAAAGGACAACACTCGTCATGTAAATCGACATAAACCATTCCCTCACATGTATAACAGTCTTTATGGAAAACATAAGTTGGAGCTAATTCGTAATAACGAAGCACTAGCTGAAAAAAATGTGCAATGAATGATAAATATTTATATATAATCAGTAAATTAGGGATGCACGGTAGTCTAGTGGGAGGACGCCGAGCTCGTGACCGAAGGGTTGCGGGTTGGAGTCACGGCACGGCACGGCACGGCACGGCACTGTGTTGTATCTTTGAGTAAGATACTTTACTCCGCTTGTTACAGTCTACTCAACTGTAAATGAGTACGAGGATGGGCAGTGCTAGAATTGTAGAATGCTAGCTGTGAGCGCCGAAATGGCAGCACCGGCTGTATGTTCCACAGGGAGTTGAGAAAGATATTGGCTGGTTGCAAAGGCCCCATAACCACGGATAATAATGTATGAACTGTTTTGAAACGACCTACGAACTAGGTTGTGATAAAGCGGTATATAAGAACCTCGAAGTATTATATTATTATTATCACAAATCATGTTATCGGTGAATTACTTCACATTACATTATTTTGTACATAGCTGAGCTTAAACACTGTTACACACAATTTAACTGGTTCACTATAGCTGGTATCAAAAACTTAGCTTCAGTATTGAAAGAAAGAAAGAAAAACAGCTGACATGTAACGCTTTCGAAAAGTCGATGGTATTTACTACTTGACACCCAACAAGGTTCTGTTTTACATTTTTTCGAAATTATTATGAAAGCCAATTTGTGTGAATACACTACAGTCGGACCAAAGGACAGTGTCGGAACCAAAATAAAGAGAAGCAATAGACCAACTGATTTTACATGTGAAAACACATTTAATCAGTGTATAGACTTCGCCACACTTGAGTGAGTGCGAGAGATGATTGTGTGTTGGCTTTTGTCATTGCACAAACAATTTAAGCTTTCTAAAGTATTTGCAGCTTGACTGTATGGTCTGTCGCTCACCAGCTCGCATATAGCCGAATTGTCAAGATAGGTGAGGCAAGACGAGTTGATTATAATAGATAATTGATGAAGATCGAGTTTATGTGAATGAATAAGAATGAAGGGTGAGTTTGTTATCATAGATAAGAGTGGAAGCGCTTTTTTTTAAATTTAGATATGTGAGGAAGGATGAGTGAATTATTATGATAGATACTTCATAAGCATTGTATGTTTGACATATTAGTTTAATATCGAGCGTTTCTACGATTTCAATTACCGATATGCCCAAATGATATTTACATGAATGTAATTAACTCAATCCTCATTCTAACAAACTGAGTATATAGCTAGGTGTATACCTTTTAAAACAAGTACGAAAGCTTTTTCTTCAGAATTACAGTAGATGTTGACAATATTTTAACCCTATATTTTACACATACCTTGGATTTACATTCATTCAGAACTGAAACCTTATACCAGAGTTCGTGCTTAAAGTCATTTAAAGGGACGTGTCATTATTATAATCAGGCTATGTGTACAACAGACACGGTATGTAGTTTATATCTAGTTCTTTTCAAGGTAAACCGAATACATGGTTTGACAGCACGTCTTTATATATTAACGCGCATATGATTAAACGTGGGAATTTTAATTTTAAAACCTTTATACAAATGTTAAACACACATGCATACATGCATGTTCATATCCCCTCAGACATGAGAGCTAATCCCCATGGGCTTTGCTTCATTTATTATTTATTTAACATATATATACTCCTTGACCACATGAAATAACCATATTACTGATGTGACAGAAAACGGTTTTTATTCGATGATGATGTCCGAGTGGTTTACTCTTTCCATACCGCATACATACATGTTTATATTAATTAGCATGGTAGATAAATCGCGTGTTTCAAACTATTTACACGCAGGACAGTCACATGCAACCTCGGTAAGTTTATTTCATGGTCAGCAAATGTCGAAATACACTGCAGCGGGATTCAATTACAGTTATGTGTACTCGGGTGGGGATCAAAATTATTAATAAAAGTCGTTAAGGGGAATATGTTTTAAAATAACAAACATCTTTAGTGCAAGAATACACAATAGACAAATCGAAAACATGCTGAAATGAATTCACCTTCAAGGCGGTCTGAACGGATGATGATTTACAAAAAAAAATAACAATAACAATAACTAACAATAGTGTGTATTTCTTGAACCTGGTGCTTAAACCAAATTGAAAGATGTAGATAGATGTACATAATGTAGATACAATGTATGGTGGTAATAGCAACTCAAAGAGAAACTAATGCCGGTAAAATGTTACACATTTCCTAAACAGTTAGTGTAAATTAAAGGTTTTTTTTAAAAAGGGGGTTCGAGTGAAAATTAAGGAAACAGTATTCAGTATTACGAAAATCCTCAAAAATGTGGAACAATAGCTTTCTTATTGGAACCATAAACATGACATTTTTTTATTCAATTGTAATAACGATTGAAAAGGCTTCATATATGTAAATCGAAAGGTTAAAATCATCAACTTTTTTAACAAGTTTCATTGTTACAATTACCAATAAACATCAACATATATGCTATCCGAAAAAAAATGGTATAAGGAGGATGCAGGTATTATTTTAGTCGCTGAAGAGGCAGAGGAAACTATCGACCTACTCAGGTCTGATTTCGAGAGAGAGAGAGAGAGAGAGAGAGAGAGAGAGAGGGGGGCAACATAGCCCAACAATCTCCAAATCTCATTTTAAACCCTTACACTTGTAGTAAAAAAACGTCCACTCATCAGAGCGCGAGAGGTAACAATGAGTAACTGGCTCTATAAAGTAAAAAGAAGGCAAGGCATGTATAATTTATCATATAATATCTTATTCATGCTTTTTTATATCATTGATTATTAATGACCATATATATATTAAATGTTCTCAGTAATAAATATGTTCCACACATGTTCTGTTTACGTTCAGTGTAGTCAAGACAGGACGTCGATCAACATAAATTACCGACAAATGGCATACCTTATTAACGTCGAGTGGATTAATTCGAAAATGGTTCATGCATGAAATGACAAAATTTCTCTTAGGGGTGGCTTCCCTTTACCCATTTAACACGTTGAAACATACCTAATCAGCGGTATGGATGCTAGAGGTTGTCGATCAAACTAAATAGGATTGTATTTACATTGTAGCTCAATGGAACCAAGTATTCTCAAAGATTTTACGTTTGCTGAGACAAATTGTCCCCTGCAAACATGAGTTTGATATTCAAAACAAAATTATAGGTATATTGTATTGAGTTATTTCTATCTGGATACTGATCTACATATTAGATCAGTTACAGTATATCGTAATAAATATAATTTGAGTTTTCAGTTGGATTCCTTTTCTCTAAAAATCCAAAATGAATGATTTCCCAATTCTGACAGTTCATGCTAATGCGAATCAGGTTTGGTTTTATTTTGTTAAACGGCCTATTAACATCTAAGTTCATTAAAGGTCATGCCACCATGTACGTCCTGTATGTGTACCGGAGACAGGTTATGTTACATGTAGTTTGTTTGTCTCCTGGTGATAGCGCGGATCTGATACCGACTTTATACAGAGCGGAATAAGAATAGCAATTCGATACCAGGTATATATATATATATATGTCTCTACTACATCAGTTCTGTATTACACATGGAAAGTGCTGCTATGCTTTGCTATAGTCTATTTCCCCCGTCTCTTAGAGCTCGGTTCATGGTCTGACCTTACTCTGTATGCTCGATTGTAGATA